AAAAGTAGAATGGGGCTGAGAGGGTTAGCACTGAAGGGAGAAGTGAAAAAAGGGTGAAGGAAAGAGCATGTGCAAGAATGTGAATAATTTGCCATTTGCACACATGACTCAAGAAACGGAATTAGTTACAAATCTTTAAGGTCTACAATTCCTGCTACAAAAAAAAAAAAAATGATCCATGGGGCTTCACATTAAATGTTCTCCATGGAATGGCCTCAAATCATTTTACCAGTGCTATCCAGAATGACTTTTCATCTCACGCATCTGCCGAAATAAATCATTTTAAATACTTACCCTACACTTTACTGTTCATCTTCTCTCATGTTCTTACTGAGGAGAATGCCCATGTCTTCCTATGATCTCTGCGTATGCAAACCCTGTCTGCTTCTCAAGGGGTCTTCAATGCTCTCTCCTCACAGAACCTCTCCTCATCCCAGGGTTGGAACCGAGCTCTCTATCCTATGATTTCGCAATGCACTTGATCTATGTTTCAGTTTTGAGCTCATGTTTTTATGTGGCATTATGCATGAAAGTAGATAATATCTGGTCTTATGTGTTTACTCTTACTTTGTCCAATGGCACCTAGCCTGGTGCTCTACATAAAGTATTTAGGGGGAAAGGACTACTGACAGGATGGGCAAGTAAAACAGTGGTGATTCAACTTATTTGCTTCATAATTCCATATGTTCAATAGTAGCATTAAATGTGATTTGATGGTTACGGCCAAAATGTATAAAGACAGCTACTCAAGTGAAATTTCCATTCCTAAATTGTAAGCACGTTTCTTAATCTTACTAGTTAGCTCCTCACAAAAAGGATAAACATCCTTCACACCATATATAGTACAGCATAACTTTCTGAAATTGCTATGATACTCAGGGAGAATTCTTGCTCTTTTTACCCATTTGAAAATATTTTTTTCAAATATTAAATATTAGATAAGGAGTATTTGCACTATATTATCTCTAAATATATTCCAAGTAACAATATTTCAGTCACATGAAAATTTTATTGATCCCCTTTACATGCTATTTTAAGTACTTATATAGTACGAAAATGAATATGCTATGAAAGCTAAATATGAAGGAGAATCATTTTACACATATCAAATCTGAGTGTTCAGGCTCAAATACAGAGCAAACTGGGATGCAGCAACACATGAGTGGGAAGGAAACTGTGGTGATGCAACTCAGGTTACAGAAATGCTGAAACTTAGGTGCGTATATTGAAGGAAAGGGTAACCAGCAGACCCAATGTCATTGTTCAAACACAACTTTCATTTTCAATTGATAGGATATTCAAAAAGGAGTTTCCAGACAATGGCAGGTCTTCACTTCAGACAGATCACCATACATGGTTTGTACAATGCTTATCCATGTAGAACAGGGCTGAAGCCAGTGAGGGGGGGATTGTAAAGAGTAAGTCAGTGTATTAGCACCCTAATAAAATGAGCTCTGATCTAGAACTGAGAGCTATGATTCAGATCTGAAATTCAATTAGATTACTGAGGTGGAAGCCTAGTTGTATTAATCAGTCAAACACAACTGGCTTCAGAAAATGATGCAATTTAAAATACATGGAAGTATCTTGTCCTATCTCAAGAAAATCAATTCTCAAAAAATAAAATTCTATAAAATAAAACCCATTCCATCCTGGATATTTTATCAACGTAAGATTAGGTTATACACACAACAAAATGGCTATTAAAACTAATATACAGGGGCTGGCCCCATGGCTGAGTGGTTAAGATCACGCACTCTGCTTCGGCGGCCCAGGGTTTCGCTGGTTTGGATTTTGGGCACAGACCTAGCACCGCTCATCAGGCCATGCTAAGGTGGCATCCCACATAGCACAACAAGAGGGACCTACAACCAGAATATGCAGCTATGTACTGGGGGACGTTAGGGAGAAGAAGAAAAAAAAGAAGATTGGCAACAGATGTTAGCTCAGGTGTCAATCTTTAAAAAAAGCCAATAAACAAACAGTAAAGTTGTAGGATATGACATTAACATACATAAATCAGTTGCATTTCTATACACTAACAATGAGCTCTCTGAAAAGGAAATTAAGAAAACAAACCCATTTACAATAGCATCAAAAGGAATAAAATACTTAGGAATAAATTTAACCAAGGAGGTGAAAGACTTGCACAGCGAAAACAACCAATCGCTGATTAAAGGATTTAAAGCAGACACAAAGAAAAGGAAAGATGTCCTGTGTTCATGGATTGGAAAACTTAATTTTGTTAAAATGTCTAAACTAACCAAAGAAATTTATAGAGTCAATGAAATCCCTGTCAAAATCCCAATGGCATTTATTTCTTACAAAAATAGAAAAAATAATCCTAAAAGTCATATGGAATCACAAAAGACCTCTGAATAGCCAAAGAAATCTTGAGGAAAAAATAACAGAGCTGGAAGCATCATATTTCCCAATTTCAAAATATATTGCAACGCAATTATATTAAAACAGTATAGTATTGGCATAAAAGCAGATACATAGACCAATGGAAAAGAGCCTAGAAGTAAACCCACATAGAGTCAAGTGATCTTTGACAAGGGCACCAAGAAAACACAATGAGGAAAGGATAGTCTCTTCAACAAATGGTGTCAGGAAAACTAGATTCTACATGCAAAAGAATGAAATTAGACCCTTATCTTATACCATACACAAAAGTCAATTTAAAATGGATTAAATATTTAAATGCAAGACCTGGAGCTGTAAAACTCCTAGAGGAAAACATAGGTGAAAAGCTTCGTGACATTGGACTTGGCAATGATTTCTTGGATATGACATCACCAAAAGCACAAGCGACAAAAGCAAAATTAGACAAGTGGGACTACATTAAACTAAAAAAGCTTCTCACAGAAAAGGAAATAATTGACAGAGTGAAATAGCAATCTAAAGAATGGGAGAAAATATTTGCGAACCATATCTCTGGTAAGGGATTTGTATGGAATGAATATGTCCCCACAAAACTCATAAGGTGAAATCCTCCCCACAATGTGATGGTGTTAGGAGGTGAGGCCTTTGAGAGGTAATAAGAATTAGATGAAGTTGTGAGGTCGGAGCCCTCATGAATGGGATTAATGCCCTTATGAGTCTGGGAAGAGCTTGCTCCTCGCTTGCTCTTTCCTTCTCTTCTCTGTCATGTGACAACACAAGAAGTTGGCAGCATATAACCCAGAAGAGGGCCTTCACCAGAACCAGACCATCTTATCACCCTGATGTTGGACTTCAAGCCTCCAGAACTGTGAGAAATAAGTTTCTGTTGTTTATGAGCCACCCAGTCTATGCTGTTCCATTCCAGCAGGATTAATATGCAAAATACACGAGAACTCCTACAATGCAACAGCGATAAAACAAATAACCCAATTAAAAAATGGGAAAAGACCTTGAATAGATATTTTTTCCCAAAAAAGACATATAAATGGCAAAGAGGTATACAAAAAGATGCTCAACATAACTGATCATCTGGGAAATTCAAATCAAAACCACAATGAAATATCACCTCACACCTCTTAGGATGGTTATCACAAAAAAATTAGAAAATAGCAAGTGTTGACAAGAAAGCAGAGGAATTAGAACCCTCATACACTGTTGGTGGGAATGTAAAATGGTTCAAGCACTGTGGAAAACAGTGTCAAAGTGTCTTGTCCTTTCTCAAGATGGACATGACGCACACTCAATGCCATTAGCTAGACTTTGAGCCCAGGCTCCTTACTGATATATGCAAAACCTAGAATTTGATTTTTCTAAACTTCCCTAAATGTTTGGACTTTTATTCATGTCCATTATGGTCCGGAGTAGATTCTTAAAATATTCGTATTAGTTTTGATAATATGTAATTTATGTTACCAAAGAAATTTGTAATTATAGTTAATTTGCAAAATTTACCCAAATAGAATCAGACTGACCAAAACTTTAGCCTATCATATCCAAATTCGGCTAAGGAATCTACATCTTCCAAGCTCTAATATAATTCTTGGAAAATTTATTATTCCTTTAGTGTTTCTTTTTCTAATGCAATAAAAAAATTGCTATTTTGCTATTTAATACAGCCAAAAAATACCATATAAGCTGTGTGTAGTAAACTATATGTGATAGATTACAATATATATTATAATAATACAATATATAACATAGATATATAATGTACATTAGATAAATATTAATGTATTAATGCATTATAAAATATTGACTATATTAATATTTACTATTATGTTGTAATATAATTACTACTATTTATATATAATTATATAAAATATAATTACTATGTTACTATTATATGTTATAATAGTATATATAATAGTAAATATTAATATAATCAATATTTTATATCATATATATGTTATATAATATATACTATGATATATAACATATTATATACGTTATAATATATACTATTATATGATAGTTTATATTATGTGTAACACTCTCTCCTTCACTAGTCCTTTTTATTTATGAATTTTTTTCATCGTTTTATGTTTTTATTAACACAAATGCAATGTGCACATCGGCTGTCTATTCATTTTCTTCGCTGCGCAGACTGCCACTGGGACTGGTGACGCTGATAGCCAACAGGGCTGCTCTTTCTGCAATGGCTTTGTGGTTCTTGGAGGAGACATTGTGAGCAATCTCAGCATGGTAAGATTTGTTGGACATAAGCAGCTCTTTACGTTCCTTAACGTTGTAGACCAGGAACTTCTGGAAGCCACTGGGCAGCATGTGCTTTGTTTTATTGTTGCTCCCATAACCAGTGTTGGGCGTCAAGATCTGGCCCTTGAATCTTCTGTGTACCCTATTGTCAATGCCTCTGGGTTTTTGCCAGTTACGCTTAATTTTGTATCGGTCTGATGGTGCTGAATGAAATTCTTAGTCCTCTTTTTGATGATCTTGGGCTTCACAAGTGGTGTGAGGGCAACCATGACTCCTTCAAGAAAGAGGCAGAGATGGTGTCAAAGAAGAGTCCTGGAGGGAGGTGTTCTTGCCCAGAGCTTGAACCTTGCAGAGTGTCTTCCAATCACCAGTTACTGAGAACGCTGGGAATGGAAGGGGTACCTCTGCCAGGCCTGCTTTCCCTTCCATCTCCGAAGCTGGCGGAACACTAACCACACTCCAGATGCAATCCCAGGAGGTCCGAATTATTTTTACATATACTATTTCATTTGTTACTCACAACTTCATTAGTACAACCAAAAAACAATCACAGTTGTATCTCTGATGAGGCATCTAGTCAATAATTGACTTATATGGCCTTTGAATTTTAATTTTTTTCGTGATAAAACATCAAAAAGGGGTTGAGATGGAGTGTTGACTGGATGAGGAGAAAACTAACATTCTTGAGAAGCTGTGGGGAGGGGAGATTTAAGGCAGAGAGATCCTCATATCCTTCAGTCTCATCCAATCAATCCAGTCCCTCCAGTGGGAGCAGGGGATCCTAGCCCCCATGAGTGCAGGGCAGATAGCATGTTAATGAGGAGGATACTAAAGCTCAATAAGATGAGACAGTTTGCCCAAGATTTCACAACAATTAGAGAAGTAATGAAAGACTGAAAACTAGACTTATCTATGGGCAATTAAGTCAGATAAGATGTGTGGGCAATATTGTTACAAAGTACATTATGGCATGGAATAGGGAAAAGTTAAAGGAGATGAGGAGAATGCTGATGGCATTGACAGAGACAAAAATCTCAAAAGAAACAAACGCACTAAATTTAATTTTCGACATGTTATATACCTTTAGTACTCGGAGTAGTATTAGAGATCAATATCCTCATGTACTTGCAGCATGATGTAGTGGAAAGTAATTTGGTACTGAATTAAAAAGAACAGTTTGAATCCAAGCTCTTCCCTGAATTAGCAAATTATCCCTTTTTTATGGGTATTATTTTCCTTTTCTCTACCTTGTGAACAATAATACCATTTGAAGGTGGTCAGGAAGATTTCCTAACTCACTGTGCGCAGTGTCTGTCTTAGTACTGGTTTCACAGAAAAAGAACAATAAAATATTTGATGGCGACTGGTGATGAAGATGGGATGATAAAAATGATGACGATAACAGTGATGGCAACAATCAACGCAAAAGAGACAACAGAATTCCAGACAGGATGGAAGACTTCTCCAAGTTCAGGTGATTAGTTGCTTTTGAGAATTAAACTTTAACCTCCAGTTCAAATTTTACACATTATTACACTTATTACATTATTATCATGACCCTATGTTTCTGGCTCAGTCTTATTGCTTATATTTGGAAAATAAAGTCTTTAGTTGGCTTAAATTTACCATGGTTTATAAACCTGATGTTAACAGGCATTTTAAAAGTCCAATTGTATTATGTCTAGAGGAGGAATATATGTAGGCTGGTGTGTGAGACAGTGAATTAGGCTTTGTCATGGGAACAATTACATCCTTTGATGTGGCAGAGATAGAGTCGCAACAATTTCCTTTTCAATTAAATACTGAAATCATGTAACAAAAGTGAGACTTAGAAACCAGAATCTATGTCGTTACACACAAGATTATCAAAACTCGTCCTATTTCTTCAAGTATTCTATTTTTGTCATTTGTCTATTGACATAACATAGATCCTCAGCATTGAATATCTTAGATATTTACAGGATATAGGATACCCTATAGGATAGAAGTAACCACTTTTAAATTTACTATATGTATTTTTCTCTCCCTTATTTTTTAAAGATCAGAAGACAGCAGCAAATATCCTGGAGAAAACTGCCAGAGTAGGCATCTGAGAATGGGGTTTATGCCTTCAATTACATAGTTTACAAATGCTGGTGCCTTGATATCCCTGAAGATATAATTAACAGGCACAAATACTGTTATGCAGATCCTGCATTAATATTAGTTCTCTAAAAATCCAGAGTAGTTTCTATTACTATCCATAACAATCAGGAGAGTTTCCAGCAAGAGTTGCTAAACCTCTCAGTGATCAGGTGGTAAGACTGTCCAAATGCTCACATGCGACATCACGTTTGCCTCAAAAGCTCATATGACTATTGTCATAGAGAACGAGTTTTCATTATGAATCTAAAACCATCTAAAAATAGACAGAAAGCCGTTCTACTTAAGAAAAACATGCTCCCATCTATTCCCTAGGCAACCAACTTGGCATCAAGAAACACCCATCAATAGAAAACTTGCATTCATTTTTTTTCACAACCAAACGGAAAGAAGAGTTGAAGTCACTGTCCAGATAATTCATGGGAAAAGTCTTGTTATTAATCAAAGCTATGGTTTTACTGATTAAATGATTGTAAATAAGCTAGGTGTTACTTCACCACACAATTATTTTAAATTTTCTTCACTTTGGTTTTTAAGTCAGACTGGAAAGCTAAATGTATTTACTTATATAGTACATTTCAGTTAATTGTTTGTAGTTTTATTGACATTTAGTTTAACTATCTCTAATTCTTTGCGTTAAAGTTTCTCTTACCTATGACTCTGATGCTTCTTATTTTACCTTGGAGTTGACTAATTACATGAGAAAGTTAATTTCATACATTATATGTGTTAGTTTTCATTTCTATCAAGAACTACATAAGTATCACTTTTTTTGAGAGCTGAGAGACAACGAAAAGCCATTACTCTCACTCTTCACCATAGCGAGGCAGCCCTCTACAAGCTGGCAAGAGAGCTCTCGTCAGAAACTGAACTGGCTAGCAACTTGATCGTAGGCTTCCAGCCTCCAGACCTGTGACAAAATAAATTCCTGTTGTTTAAGCCCCCCGGTCTGTGGGATTTTGAAATGGCAGCTCAAGCAGACTGACACAAGGACTTTTTTGAGTTTTGTGAAAATTCAAGTTCATATAAATTTTCAGTATTAAAAGTTATATGAGAAACATACATTTTAAGATGATTAAAAAGACATTTTATAAGTTTCAAAAGCAGAGAGGTCCAGGGAATGAAAAAGCTTAGATGAGTTTGTAGTTAAAGTGACAGAGCACATCAATTCCTGAATTATAAATCAAATTGACTCATTGGGGAAGAAAACCAAAGATTTTCAGAGTCCTCACAGTAGCTTTAATTTAGTAAGAATCAAAATATATAAATTATAGAAAAATAGACGTTTTAAATAGGAACTTTTAAAAATACGAAAAAAGGCAGCTAACATTAAGTCCATTTTTTCCCCTGTGCATAAATGTAGACATTTCTCAGTCACCTGCGGGTGGGTTTGGTTAGACGATGGATTTCAGTCAAAGAAACATGGGTAGGAAGAAGGAACTCCACTTCAATCTTGGCCCAGAGACATTCCCAAACACATTTCTCCATTTTTTCACTTCTGTCTTACTTAATGTGGATTACCCCTCCCAGAGTAACATCTAGAGATATGTGTTGAAGATTGCAGAACCCCAAGATGGCAGCACCCTGGTTCCTGTATCACCCCTTGGAGGAGAAGCATCCTACCAGGAAGGCCCACATTGGACTCTTGCAGGCACAATGCACAAACTTTACTTCTGTGACATATTGAGAGTAAAACCAGCACTGGTGGGCTGGTGGTTAAGATTTGATGCTCTTGCTGCCAAGACTGGGGGTTTCTTTCCCAGTTAGGGAACCCATCACCTGTCTGTCATTGTCATATTATGCATGCTGCCTGTCGCTGTGATGCTGAAAGCTGTGCCACCAGAATTTTAAATACCAACAGGTTTTTAGCATGAACTTCCAGACTAGCAAAAAGGACCTGACTACTCACATCCAAAAAAAGTGGCCATAAAAACCCTATGAATAGGGGCTGGCCCCGTGGCCGAGTGGTTAAGTTCGCGCGCTCCGCTGCAGGCGGCCCAGTGTTTCGTTGGTTCGAATCCTGGGCGCGGACATGGCACTGCTCATCAGACCACGCTGAGGCAGCGTCCCACATGCCACAACTAGAAGAACCCACAACGAAGAATACACAACTATGTACTGGGGGGCTTTGGGGAGAAAAAGGAAAAAATAAAATCTTTAAAAAAAAAAAAAACACCCTATGAATAGCAGCGGAGCATCGTCTGATGGAGCACTGGAAGGTGAGACGATGGGGTCAAAACACCAGGCAGGGCTCCTCTTTGCTCTACACAGAGCTACCAGGAGTCAGAATTGACTCGAGGACACTAACAACAACAATTAAGTTTACAGAGTTCGGCATCTAGCATTATTTTCATTACCTCAGATTGGAATAAAATTGTGTTTGTTTATTTTTAGATAATCCATACACTGGATGGAGAAAACATCTGAAATACTTTCTCCACAAGCTATGCAGCACTAGATAGAGATGATGACAAAGGCTTGTTGATGTTGTTTTGTGCTTACTGATGTTTAGTCAAAATGGATTTCTAAAAAACAGTATTGAATTTGACCACTCTAGGAAATTAACGTATTTTTATGAAAAAGAAACAAGGCAGAGTTTTATTTAAACTTTATTTTTACTACTGATTTGATAATATTTCTAAGAAGCTATGGACAACTTTTCTGCTACTGCAAGTTAAATTAAAACTATAATTACAGGTCACAGTTTTCTTATTGGCGAAAACGGAATCTGTGACTTTTGTAATCTTTCCCTCTGCTTTATGTGGACTGACTTTACTCAGCGAGACCCCAAGGCTAGACCTTGCCTACACGCCATCCATTGGCTCCCCACGTTAATTCTTTCAGTTTGCTTCTTAAAATGTATATACCATTATTTTCCTGGTTGTTGAATGCCAGCTGGTGCTGTCAGCTACTATTGTTTCCCAGCTGTCTGCCCGATATTCCATAGCTTCAGGCTGGCTGACTGAGTGTCCTTGAAGCATTTTACCTGACCTCCTTGTTCCACTTCCTCCGTTAGTTTATCATAGGCACTTAGACTATTTGTTTCTCAAAAACATTCTGCTTTTTCATTGTATGGGAGTTAATAGACAAATTACAAGGATTAGACTCCTAAAAAGATTTGGGTTACATATTTGTCTTGTTGTCTTCAAAGTGTTTGGTTACTGACCCTTATCAATAAATTAATTTTCTAGCATAAACCCCAATATATATTTATTTATTTAATTCTATAATGTATAAATACATGTACACAAACATAGTGTACATTGTACAATATGCTTAAAAAATTAAATGAGGAGAATATGATAAATCGTAAATGTATTTTCAAAATACTTCTTTTTA